ACTGAAGTCATGGAAAACTTGATACATGTTGGGAGAAAATCCTTAGCTTCACTGAAGTTCTAATCTGACTGTCGGTGCGGAGGTGGGGCCCCTTTTATTCTTGCGACAGGGTGATGTCGCGCTGTTGTGCCATGTTGCACTGGTGTTACACAGTCTCATCCTGCTGCTACGCACGGCCGCAGCCGCGCTGTGATGGGGTGGGAATTGGAAAGGCGGCCCATGGGTCAACGCTGCGAAAGTGGTGACCTGGGCATCAGGTCAGCAGCTGGCCCATCTCCATGCGCTTCAGTGGAGTTGAGCTTCCAGTGCCGGTGTCAAGTTGTGTTTATCCTGAAACCAGAGTTATGGAAAACTTCAGGCCTCTTGGGAGAAATCCTAGCTGCGTTGAGGTCAATAGAAACTTTGCCATGTCCTTTAGTGAGGACAAGACTGCGCCCCGTGTGTGTGAGTGTAGCCACGTGTGTGTGTGTGTGTAGCCACGTGGAGTCTTCTCCCAGGCTGCCCCATATGTGTGGGATGTGCTCACCGTGCAAAGCCACCTCACCGTTCTCCTTCAGATGTCTTCTTTAAACCTCTCCTCGGCCGTCATGCTTACACAGAGCTTGGCAGTGGGTGTGCTGCGGTCAGGATCCTCTCACTGTTGCTTGTGCTCTCTCAACTTGCTGTTTATAGCCTTACAGTCGGGTTGTAAGTTCTTTAGGGCAGGTATAATAGTGTCTGCTAGCTGTTTGCACAGCACCCAGCACAACGGGGCCTGGCCTCTACCCACGACTTTAAAGCCACTAATAACGATAATACCTATCACAGTGAGGCTTGAGTCGGGGACCTCCAGTGCTGTCAGCCTCTGCCATTGCTGCGAAAGGAGTTACTCTGCTGGCTGGTATCGGCAGTAGACTCTCATCTGCTTATGCACACCGGGGAGAGACAGGCCCGCTTCGTCCTGGTGCGGTTTATATTTGGGCAAGTCGGCTTCTCTCCCCTTATAACAGTTCAGATCATGCCAAGCATCTCAGCCCCGCTGCCGTGTTGTGGAGCTAAATGAATGGATGCTGGTGAAACTTGCCAGTGTCCTCCCATAAAAGGTACTGTAGAAATTCAGAGGAATATATGTTTCACCCAGGGTAAATTCCCAATGGTCAATGCTGGTTTTCACAGCAACTACGCTGATTTCCTACCTCCCCACCGACCGTAGGCAAAAACGGTTGATTTGTCATTTTTCCAGAGGGGAGGAAGAAAATCAAAACCAAAACACGTTGAGCTCAATGCACACAATGTGTTGGTGCTCACCAGAGAGTTCTGCCTTTGGTTTGCAGCCCGGATTGCTAAATTCAGAATTGTGTGCGGTGAGGGAAGCAGTATGGAAATAAGCGAGCTCTGGCAGAGATCAAAACTGAGGCACATTGGTAGAAACATAAGGGTGCAGGGGCTCAAGACTGGCTCAGCAGAAGGTGTGGCGGATTAGGACTGAGCTTCATTGCAGAGCTGAATGAGGTCCCAAGGCTGGCTTAGGAAGCAGCATTGCAGGGGAGAGGGTGCGATGGCAGAGTGTGGGTGGAGGAGGGTTACTGTAGGGCAGCACTGAAGCTTTTTGGCAGAGCTGCAGGAGAAAAGCTCGCCCAGCCTTTGCCCAGACTGTGCCCTCCAGGGTACTTAGTCCCTCGTGTTCATGACATCAAACCCAATTGTCAAATATGGGTGTGGGGGAAATAAGTGAAGCTTTTGTTTCCTTTTCAAGGGTAGCTGGTGGAAACCTCACATGAAAGAGATTGCAAAGGGGTGAAAATAGTGTTCCCAGACTTGAGCAAAGTGAGATCCAATAGGTAGATAATGGTGCACGTGAGCCCATGGTTTTGTAACAGCCGTCTCGGCACAAGCCATGCCAAGATTTTTATGTAACCAACGGGGCAGGGGAGGCAGCGTGCGTCTGAAGCTATCCTGAAACACTCAGATTCTTAATGCAAACCAAGGCTCCATCCTGATTGATTCTCCTTCCCTCCTGGACATGTCTGACAAGTTTGTTTACTTTGCAGTACTTCTGGGGTTTGTTTAAAGAGACGTATTTTTATTTATTGTCTCTTGACAGTTCCTGGTTGGGGGGGGGCATCTAAAGGGGCTGCTCTGTGAGCTGTCAATGGTTTTAAAACTGGAGTGCAAAAGTGACTGGGCACCAAACCACAGCTACTGTATTAACAGTGTTTAAAAAATCCATCCTTTCTAAATACGGAAATCTGATTTCCATTTTTAGTTATTTTTCAGAAGGTCCCTTTGCTGCACCAATGACAAATCCACAGAGAAATGTGTGCAAAGCCACGTGAAGTAGCCACATAAGTTTATCTGAAGAGAAAGCAACGCTCTGCCTTTGTGACGTTGTCGTGACCTGGCGAGCTTTGTGTTGTGACGTCACTCAATGGCTGCATTGCAATGTTGCTATGCTCCAACGGGATTTCAGCGGCGGCGGGAGAGGGGTTTGTGATTCCTTGCAGGACATTGGATGGACCTGTGGGAACATGAGGCTATCCTGGGGAATTTGGGGGGAGTGGAGAGACTCAACCCCAGTTACTATTTCCTGCATCTGTGAGGGTACCTAGGATGATGTCCTCCTGGATTCCTGATCCTAATGAAGAGGTTCTCGCACCGTGGTGGCCGACTTTTGGAAGAACAACCTAGTCAGCATGTCTACCTGGAGCATCTAAGCCTAATTCCTGGCTCACAATTTGCTGCACTGTGGCAACCTTCCATTCTTAGGAGCCGGCCCAACTAACTCTGGTACTCTTAAAACACAGGGCATTTCCAGCGCCTCGTCTGCCCTGAGTCAAGGACAGAAATCCCCCACTTGCTTGGCAGGACAAGACATTTCTCAAGCGGGCTGGGGTCCTTAAATGTTTGCAAAGGTTTTTTAAAGCCTTGTAAATGTCCTGCCTCTTCTTCCCCTGTAACCCGAATCACCCTCCTTATAAAGCTTCTTTTTTTTCCCACTTGGCAAAGCTGGGCTCCACAAAGGCTGATTTTTTTAAAATGACTTTATGACCAAGTGCTCTCGTCCCCCTTCCCAGCCTCCCTCCCACCCCCCATCCATGTGCCCTGCGCTCCAAATGGGGCACCCGCTGTCCTCATTGCCATACCAGCTGGTTGCTGCTGAGAGTGGCCTAGGAAGGAGCATGTTTGCATTTCGACGCTCCAAAGTGCTTGTCTAGGCCAGGCGCTGCAGGATCCGTTCTTCAGCGCCCAGCTGTCAGAACAGCTTCTCCCCACGCAAGCTAGCCTGCTTGCGAGCTTCAAAATCCTGCCTCCTTGCAGATGAAGAGCTGTGGTTAGCACTGTCATGAAATTAGAGGCCAACAAGCAAAACCACCATCACTTTCCCCACTAGCTCAGTCATTAGGAGCCAGCCACTGGGGCTGGACAGGGTGCTTTCCTGCCGGTGTTAACTGCTAGATGCTGGAGCAGCGAGGAAGTTGGGAGTATTCCCTTCTGCAGCCACCCAGGACGGAGTGGGTACCAGAATGGAACTCAGGGACCGGTCTGTGCCTGTTTCTCAGTGTTGATTCCCCAGTGCTGCGCTTTGGGCACCTTATTATCCAAGCAGGGTCACCTGCTCCCACGGCTGAAGTTTAATGGGGCGGTCTCCAGAACAGCAAGGAGTGGAACGGAAAAGTGGGGCCGGGATACTGGGGAAAGCAGCAGCCCTGAGGCAGTTGCAGGTCCGGATCCTCCAGGGTGAGTTGCAGACTCAGATGCCAGTTCTGTTTCATCTGACCGCCTGCAGGCTTTGGACCGGCCTGTGTCTTGGCCATTGTTTAACGTCTCAGCTGCAGGATAGTGTAACTGGGGTACTAGCGCATCAGTGGCCAAATTCTCGTTTGGGGGTGGATGCGGCAGCTTTTCTAGTGCAGCGTGCTTCTCCCCTCTGGGTGATCCAGGCTCTGAATGTGAGCAGGGTTTGTTTAAAAGTTATATATATATTTTTAAAGCCTGTAGGTTAAAAACACACGACCCTACAGCTAGTGCAGGAGGGGATAAAAGGAAACAATAGGGTGACTGTGCAACCATGCAGACAATGCGGGAGATGAACAGTAAACGAGAGGGATTAACCTCTGCATTATCTGATGTAGGCTGCAAGCAGAGCTTGTTTGACTCGACCTCCCGTAACAGCAGAGGCATCTCAGAGAGGAGGAAACTGGCCCCTTTCGGAGAGCTAGCAAAACAGGGCTGCCTCTGAAGACTTATGGGGATCCCTGTTCACATCCGCAGGTGTAGCCCAGTATGTCCTTTCATTCCTCCTCGTGTGGCACCAGCTGGGAGGAGTGGGAAATCCATTTTGGTGGTAACTGGGATGGGCCACAAACTGGTCCCTGGATCCCAGGGCTGTTCTACCTTGGCTGTCCGATTTCCCAGAATAACCCGTGTATTGGAAGGACAGTTGTCTGAATAGGCAGTTCTCAGTGCAGCCTGGCTTGCAAAGTGGAGCAATCAGGGAGAGTATATTTGCACTGCATGGGGTTCCTTTGCGCCTTATCTTTCTTTCTCCACCCTTGTTAACGTCCCACAACATAACCCAAATCCTTGTGGCTTTGCCTTTCCCCCAGGGACACCCTTCAGGCCTCCCCCCACCCCCCCTCTCATCTTTGCCTTTCCTTAATTTGTCAGTGGGTCACTCATGAACAACTCGAGGCTCTCCCTGTTCAACAGCCGGTCTGGTCAAGAGTTCGGAGCACAAGGCTGGGAGTTGGAAAGTCTGGGGTTTTGACTGGTTGTGTCCTTGGGCAAATCTTTTCATCTCATTCTCCGTTGCTTCCAGGGGTTGAAGGACGTGGAACACTTTGAAGATAAAACTTGCTCTAGAAGTGCCTTGTGTTAACATGATTCGATTAGTCCCCAAGGGCTGAAAGCACTTACATTAAAGAGACGTTCTTAATAACTTTTTTTTTAAGGCCTATCCTTCCCTGCCCTTCTCCTCCCAGAGGAATGATATATAACATGTATTGCTTTTATTTCGGTAGGAACTTAGCAATTGGGATTGGAATTCAGAATTTCCCAGAAGGCCTTGCTGTCAGCCTTCCTTTGCGTGGCGCCGGATTTTCAACATGGAGAGCATTTTGGTAAGTAGTGCTCCTTCTAAAACGTTCTTCAAGCTTTGAAACGTGTTTCCCGTCAAGCCATTTCCCAGCTGCTATTGCTGCAGGTTGCCTATAACGTGCTGCTCTCTATGCAGTGCTGTGTTGCTAGTTCCAATTCAGGACTCCTCAGCGGCTTGGCTGTGTTTGGGGAAAAGCTCTTCCATTTTAAAGCTTTCTCCAGCCTTTGTGTACTGGGTGGCAGCTCTGGGAGCAGTGCAGGAGACAGGGTTTTGCTGGTCCAGCATTACTACGCTCAGCAACTGATGTTTTCACGGTGATCAGACGTTGTGGGGCAAGCCACTGGTGCAGCTCACGTTCGTTCCAACTTGGAAGAAGGAAAACAACCACTAGTATGTTCTGTCTCCTGTGGCCACACCGCCGCTGTAGAATAGGCGAGGTTTGAACTGTGGTCCTCGGTAGCAGTGGTTGCAAGTGTCTTGGGATGGGGTGGACTCGGGGGGCCAAATGAAGACAAAATAGATGAACAAAAGAGAGCGTGATGCTTAAATCGGGTTTCTACTGCCTGCAGAGTCACCTCTCCTGTGGGCTGACCCCCTTGTGTCTGCTCTCCTGCGTCACACTTCTAAGGCCATTCAGAGAAGGATACAAGTGGGTCCACCAAGGCCAGAGCCTATGCCACAACTCAAACTTTCTTTGTTGCTCCAACACATTTACAGAAATTTAACTTCTGACCTTAAAGTTACCTTCTCTTCACTGTCCAGCACGGCAGGGCCATCCTTTCTGGCCTGTCTTAAGGCCTGGCAATGCTAAAAATACAACCATGTTTTCTCTAGCCAGTTTTTGATGCTCTTATCTGATCTGCTCGTGCCAAACACGGTTATTCACACCGCTCCCATTTGTTGCCCATGTTTGTGCAGCCACACTTCTCCCGTTGCCCAGTCGTGTTCATCTCAGTGCATTCTGGGAAATTCTAGGCCGCTATCCCCGTAGTGTCACAACAGCGAACAGCACCTGAAGGACATCTGCACAAAGCAGCACGAGTGCATTCTGGGATCTCTGACCAGACAGAGAGCTGGGAGGAAGGAATTAGACTGGCATGGTTAGAAGGTCTAAGCGCTGCAAAGAAACAAGGGAGTTGGACCAGTTACAGAAGGACAATCTAGGCTTCCAGCAAAGGCAACACATTGTTAGCATCCACAGTTAAGGACAGAACTTTAGTCATCAAACTGTGTTTAGAGTCATGCGACCAACAGGCTACACCAGGGATCGGCAACTTTTGGCCCGTGGCCCGCCAGGGTAAGCCCCCTGGCTGGCCGGGCCAGTTTGTTTACCTGCCGCGTCCGCAGGTTTGGCCAATCGCAGCTCCCACTGTCCGCGGTTCGCTGCTCCAGGCCAATGGGGGCTGCGGGATGTGCTGGCTGCAGCTTCCCTCGGCCCACGCCGCTTTCTGCAGACCCCCATTGGCCTGCAGCGGTGAACCGCGGCCAGCTGGAGCCATGATCGGCCCAACCTGCAGACACGGCAGGTAAACAAACTGGCCTGGCCCACCAGGGGGCTTACCCTGGCGGGCCGTGGGCCAAAGGTTGCCAATCCCTGGGCTCCACAGTCAGCAAAACCTTGTAGCACAGATAGGACCTAAAGAGGGAAAATGGACGTGTTCTGAAGGGATCCCCACTCCAGACTTCCTTCAGCAGTGGTCCAGTGCTTAGCTGATTCACAGTGCCCACTGCGTGGAGGGTAGCGATAAACTGGGTGAAGGAGAGACCGACTGGGGGAAAAATTAGAGGATTGTTTGCCTGTCTGGAGCCAGATGTTCCCAAGTCTGTCTGCAGCCTTTCGTCACTTTCCAGATGAAAGGAGGGGATCTGTCTTCTGCTGTGTTTGCTCAGGAAGGGCTCAGATGCTCTCCTTTGTTTTGCAAGGGCTGGTAAACATCTCTTTTTCTTCACACAGGTGCGGGGGTGGGAAAGCAGGTTTGCATCCGCTCTGCACTCTCAAAAGCAGGGCAGCCTAATGCTAATCAGAACCTGCAAGGTGCATTCTGCATTTACAGACTTCATAGCTCCATTTAATGGGATGTATCCATGTCCTGAGTGGGACGATTGGGCCCTTGGGGTCCAACAAACACCTGCACTATGCTGGGTACAAAAAGGGGTAAAGGAAGGTTTTCCTGTGTCCCTTCAGGGCTTTTGATCTTGGTTCTCTTACAGGTACGGACAGCTAAGTGGCATGGTGGAACCTTTAGCTGGTGTCTTCGGTGCCTTTGCCATGGTTCTGGCAGAACCCCTCCTCCCCTATGCTTTGGGCTTTGCTGCTGGTGCTATGGTCTATGTGGTCATGGATGACATCATCCCAGAAGCACAAACCAGGTAAGGGAAATTACTCTGCCTAGCTGCCAGCACCCTAAAGCCATGTTCATTGGCTGGCCTTTGCTTGTGACTAAATTCTCTTTCCTTCCTCGTCCCATGGAAGGGTATGCTGTAGTGCAAAGGAACACCTTGGGGTCTGATCCGCGAGGACCATCGAGCATTTGCATTAAGAGGGCACATGCCACTTTACAAGCTAGCACTGTTAATAGCATTTCAGCCATTTGCCAACAATTGTCACACCTCAGAGATGCGTTCTTAAAAACAGGTTCCATCCACACCCTGGCTTATACCATGTGGCACACACGTGTGAAAGCCCATTTCCAACAAGCAACAGGATGCAAAGCCATAATGAACTGTAAGGAGGTTTCAGGGTAGCAGCCGTGTTAGTCTGTATTCGCAAAAAGAACAGGAGTACTTGTGGCACCTTAGAGACTAACGAATTTATTTGAGCATAAGCTTTCGTGAGCTACAGCTCACTTCATCGGATGCATTGATGAATTAAGGAGGTTGACTGCTCTCCTTATTTTTGCTCAAGATTGGCAGAATTTTGCTGCTCCTGTTGTTTGATTGTGAATGTTCTTGGAAAAAGAGTTATTTTTTAAATACATTTGCTTTGCTGAAGGAATTATCAGGTTGCAATTCACTGAACTGGTGTGAGATGTTGCAGGAGTGGCTCTTTAAGATATTTGTCTTTTGGAGCTGTCCCTCGATGCGTGTGGCTTGAAACTGTTATCACTGAACAGTTCTATTGTAATAACGCTCTGCCCGAAACTGGTTGGACCCCATGGTGCTAAGTGCCGTATGAAAATACTATGAAGGACTGTCCTGGCCCTGAAGAGTTTACCATCTAAAAGACAACAGGTGGGTGAGAGAAACAGAGTGGGGTGGGAGAGACATGGTAACAAATAAATACAGTGGAAGGCGCACAATGCTTAACCAATCCGTAGCAGTGATTGCAGCTGTCAAGCTACTCACTATAAGGGGTGTGGGCTCCCCACTTCTAGCTTAGGAATTATGTATAAATTATGCAGGAAACAATGAGTCTGTCCCTCCCTGATTCCGTTTATTGCCTCAGTGAGATGTTAGAGGAGAAAATTGCATTTGAGAACTGTGGTTAAGATTCTCAAAGCCACCTAGGAGAGTCGAAGACATGTCCCCCATTCATTTGAATGGAATTGCATGTCTGAATCCCCAAGATGGCTCAGCCTCTCTCTGAAGTGGTTCAGGGGCTGAGGAGAGGAGGGGAAGCACCCTTAACTCTATCTCCCAAAGGATCAGCTTGGATGAGTCTTATTTTGACTGGAGGGAAGGGTCAGCATGAAGTAAGGCCTTCAAAGAGATGGGGGAATAAAGAGGATTTTGGAAGATTCCCTTCTTTTCACAGGTGAGAAGTAAAGAAAACTCTGCTGTCAGCCTGAAAGGACATTCTGAAACATAGGCGCTCACTCCCTCTCCTTTCCTCCTTGCAGTGGCAATGGGAAGCTGGCTTCCTGGACCTCCATCTTAGGGTTTGTGGTGATGATGTCCCTGGATGTTGGACTTGGATAAGGGCGGATTTACTGTTGGCCAACGGGAGATGACATCTGAGCAATTTGCATGGCAGCAGTTGAAACTGGAAACTTTTCTTCTTCTAGATTTTTTTTTTATATATATATATTGATTAGGTTTGGTGTTGATTATCTATGATTTTATATATATATATATATTTTGCTGTAACATAACATTGATTGTTTTCAAAGCACAAAAATTGGTGGCTCCTTGCAGGTCCTAGGTTTCCTTTGCCACCAAATTCTTTTCTTCTCAACTGGGTCGTCGATAAAACATACATCAGCCAGGCTGCAGTTTGTGGTTTACTTTTCCTCCGATTTTTGGGCATTTCCATAATGGTCAAAGTTCTTTTGGTTTTGACCATACTTGTTCTATATGCAGTAAGAGAGTCACAGTCAAATGTCTAACGAGGCTCCTGATTAAGTAGTAGAACAATTGATGGGTAAGTTTGTGTAGTGTCTAAACTTCTGAAATCTATCTTGGAAGTATGGAAGTGCCAGCACTAAGATGGGAACCTCCGCAAATAAGTGTGTAGCAGCATGTCTAATACATACTGCTGGGGCTTGAGAAATTTTTAGTGGCATCATCTGTTTTGATGGGTACAAGTAATCTGAACCAACAAAAAATGAAACCTTGTGAGAATTGTATCAAGATGTAGAAGCGAAGACGACACCCGTTTTCCCTGCTGGATATGTCTTCTTAATGGGGCCTTACGCCAGGATAGTCCAATGGGCAATTCTTTGCCTCTTCAAAAAATTGAAAGAGGACATCTGTTTTCTAAGGTGCAATCTTTTAGGATGCAAGCTGTGATTATACAGATTTGTTCGTAAAGTGCTACATGACTCTGTAGTATAGCAGGGTCCATTACCCACATGGGCCAGTGGTTTTGTTTCATAAATTGCTGTTTTATGGTTGCTGTTTCAAATCAGAGTGAAAATCTCCACAAAGTGTTGATTTATGCTCTTCCCAGAAGTTGGCCTGTTAGCGTGGTCCTCCAGTGAAGGAGTCCATGTTAGTTTTCGAAGGATAAATCTGGTCCTCATGACAGCTCTCTTTTTCCCCATCACTCATCTGATTAATTCATTGCCCAACATGAACACTCAGCAATGCACCGCCTTGGCTTTTTTTTCTCCCACTTTCCAAATGTGTGTTTGGCTAACAATGGCTCCCGAACATGCAGAGTAACTTGTTTTAACAGATCAGGAGCAAGCCCTGCTTCTCTGAGACAGACGCGCGCTCGCACAATGAGCATGATGGAATTTGACTGTTTTGTACTAAGCTGAATAATGAAAAGCAGAAGTCAAGATAATGATGGAGAACACACATCCCTGTTCACTTTCTAGGCAGGCTGTTCTCCCCCATCAAAATGGGGTTTGATTAGACACTTGGGCAGGTACAGTAAGTAGCTGGATTGCCTGGCTGATATCTAGGCAGCTCAAGCCCTCCCGGCTTATGTTTGTAATATATATGCCACAGAGATTCACGGGCCATGTACGCCGGAGACAGTCTCCCAGTAAACGATAAGTAGATCCTCCTAGAGAGGCTGTAGGAATGCAAGAGGACTAGGCACTAATGAACTAAGTTAAAACCATGGAATTGTGGTTCGGTTCAGTTTGTTGGCTGGATTTTGTCTGTATTTATTTGTACGTCATTCTGAATAATACAAAAATGCTGGTTGCCAATGGACCTGATCTTTTAACTGTGATTAGTTTCAATAAATGGGAAATTCAGAGTCTTTGCTGACTTATTTTGCTGCAGTCGATCCTTCCCTTTTCTTCTCCTCCCTGCATTTTATTACATTCCTTCCTCTTAATTCGATTCTTTCCGGTTTGCCTGAGGTCTTTATGCTGAGACAGTCCAAAAATAATGCACCTCAAGTTGCAACAAACACCTTATTCCCCCCTTCCCCCGCCACATGTACTCTCCCCCACCCCCCTCCATCACCAAGGAGTAACCTCTTCAAAGAGAAGTCCTATCAGCTGGCATCAATATCTAGATTCATACTGCAGGGAGTTCGCTGTTCGTTGGATTTGCCATGCCACATCAGATCACTGATCCATCAAGTCCTGCATCTGACACTTGTCAGCTCCTGAGGCTTAGGAGAAATAATAAAAGCAATTGTCCTAGAGAGTAGGGGTGAAATCCTGGCCCCAACTGAGGTGAAAGAGTTTTCTGCCATGGACTTCAGTGGAACCAGGATGTCATCTTTGGAATCCATACAACAAAGTCTGCCATCCCAAGGGGTATTAATTGGCAGTTTGGTTGGCAGTCTTGGCAGAGGCCAAGGATGGAGTGGGAACAGAAGGTGATCCCGCCCAAAGAAGATTGAGGCAGACGTGTGGGGAAGTTCCTGCCATCGATGTCCGTTCTTTACCTGTCCTGGGGACCTCAGAGCGGCAAAGGAGCTGAAAGCGTGACCCATGAGAATTGCTGCTTCCATGTGGCCACCTCAGAGGGCTTTGACCAAAGGTAGGGGGAAGTACCATTATCCCTGTGGAACAGACAGGTCAGCTTCAGCACAGAGGTGAGAAGTGACTTGCCCAAGGCCCCACAGTGAGAGAGAACCAAGGCCACTTAAGTCTGTCCTGTATCCTGTCCATAGAACCATGTCGTCTCTAGAGAGGTACGCCATGATCCTCATCCCATGAGATTAATGGGAGCGGCTGGTGCTTGGCATCTTTGAAAATCAAGCCGATAGACAAGCTGGTTGGACTGCCAACTTTGTTCAAAGTCTGTGAGGACTTTGGCTTTTCATTTTAAACCAGGAGCCTGGATGTGAAGGGTAGAAGCCTTTGGGTGGTTGGGTAGTGTCTGGAGTGTCCCCAGGTCAGGATTTTGCAGTGGAGTCTTTGTAAGCGCCGTGTTCTGATTTGAGTTCTGGGGTGTGGTGTGACTTGGTCCAAAAAAACCCCATTATTTATTTCGAGAAAACCTTGCCCTCAGATGGCTGGGAGATGACATCCCATAATGTGTTTAATCCTGCATTAGATGTAGCCAGCCAAGGTCATCATGAACGTTCGACCTGAAGAAATGGGGGGGAAGGGTATTGTAGAAAATAACATGAAAGCCTTTCTTTCCTGTTTGTGCCCCAGAGGTGAAGGGAAATTATATATGTCTGTCTTGTGATTGAACGTCTGGCTGAAGTCCAGGCTTGAAGTTATGCCTGGGAACAGTAGCTGTCAATGAAAACGCGGCATTCTGAGCAAATACAATGTAAACATGCTGCTGCCTTGCACGAAGCGATGGGGAGGTGTTCTGCTTGTCACTCTGGGATACAGCTGTTACTGCGGGAAGAAACTGACTGTCATAAGGATATTGAACTGAGCTATAATATAGAGAGGAAGGATGGCCCGGTCGTTAGAATGCTAGCTGGGGTCATGAGGGAGCTGCATTCAATTCCCTCCTTTGCCACCGACTTCCTGTGTGATCTTGGACAGTCTCTCTGTGCCTCA